TGGGTTTGTTAACACCACTTCCTTTTCCCCACCTCCCCCTCTTCCATGTCCTCTCAGAACCGGAGGTCTCATTGTTTTCTACCCCCTGGATTGTTTATCCCGCCTTCAGATGGCTGTTGGGACAAGAAGGATAGCCAGAACGCTCCTTAGAGGCCAGGATGGCGAGACTTTGATGCATTCTGGACAGGTTGATAAGAGACGAGTCCCTGCAGTACATCGTACAATGAGTACATCATACTTAGCAAGGCGGAGGGTCAGCAAAAAAGAGAAAGGCCTTCCATAAGTTGGACTGACACACTGGCTGCCACAATAGGCTCAACATAGAAACAATTGTGAGCAAGGTACCGGGTTGGGCTGTACCTTCTCTTCTGTTTCGTTCTGTTGTACAGAGGGTCGCTATGCATTGAAACTGATTCAATGGCACCTAACAAAAACAACATTAATATACTATTAGTTGTTGCTGTAGGTTGTTGACTCCATGTAAGGAAAGACAGGGACTCGTCTCTTATCAACCTGTCCAGAATGCATCAAAGTCTCGCCATCCTGGCCTCTAAGGAGCGTTCTGGCTATCCTTCTTCCAGATATTTGTTCCTTCGGCAGTCCATGGTACTTCCAATATTCTTCGCCGCCACCCCCATCCTTAGGCACCAATTCTTCTTTGGTCTCCCTTATTCAATGACCAAGTATCACATGCATTTGAGACAACTAAATGCCATGGTTTGGGTCTGGCAAATAAAAACAATTTAATTATACTTTGTTAGTTTGTTGAGAGACTTAGTTTTTGTTTAATGTGCTCCTCAATGTTGACTGTTTTCATTTTTATAGAAACAAACAAACTTAAAAAGTGTAAGATCCCACGTGTCCACTTTTCAGTACCATCGAGGTTCTTATTTCGGGATGAATACAATCATAACACCACAATCACATACAGATGTCTCCATTCCCGGCAATACCAGCAAACAACCTGTATACACGGGAAGTGGGATCCTGACCCAGCCTGCACAAGTAAGACTTCGGCTGACTATTTTGCAGATCTTGTTGCTTCTACACCATGGAGAGTCTTTGGAAATGTGTGTGTTTTTTAAAAAAATTATTATTGTGATACATAATTTTAAGTTAAAATAAATGACCCTATTTTCAAAGCATGATAAGTATAACTAACCTTTTAAAGCCCTGGTTGTCTGATTAAGATGATGCAGTAAAGCTATTTTTACTCTCTTATAGTGCCCCAAAGCCTTAAAAAGTTTTCTGGGTTTTTCTAAGATTGCAAAAAGGAATCAAAAACTCAGTTTCAATGACATTAGGAAACTAATCAAATCCAAATTACATACTGAGAGGCATCCCTGGCAGATACTGTCAATTCTGGACCAAAAAGTGACCAAATATTTTTGTCAGAAAATCCACAGTGCAAGAAATAGTGAAGGAAATGCCGGTAGCGCATAGTCCTGCTCTGGAAAAAAAGGCAGGAAGGGAACACTCTCTATAGTCAAGATTAGGAGTTGGGTGTAGACGCTTTGACATCCAAATTGACCATTTCAAATACCATCCTAAAAACAAGCCAAACAACCACGAGGCAGTGCATGCTTTATCCAAGAAAGGCCTTCTAATTGTATCCATGACCAGCCATAGATATCTATAGGGGGGAAACCCCGTAAAATATGAAACTCACTGAGAATTAGACTAAGGCTATTAGGAGCTGGTGCTATCATAATTATTTTATCCTTTTTTCCTTTGTTCAATTCAGCTCATTCCTAATTTAAAATGTTCTCAATTCAACCTTATTTGAATCAACCTTTTTGTGCCCTATGAATTGGCTAGAAAACAAAGCAAAAGTGTTTGTATGTAAACCAAGCAAGAGTACTGACAGAAGTAATGAAGGGGAAGCGATACAATGAGCACCCAGAATATTTTAAATGTCACAGCATCAAATATGGATTGTTATTAGATGTTTCATTACATTGAACAATAACTCTGTTCTCCCTTACACTTCATTAATCCAGTAATGCTAATATTTTATAGGAAACGTGAAATCCTGCCCGCCACCACCTCAGATACCCAATGCTCAGAATATGACAACCACCGTGAATTACCAGGATGGTGAAGAAGTGTCTGTACTCTGTAAAGAAAACTATCTACTTCAAGAGTCTAAAGAACTTGTGTGTAAACACGGACAATGGCAGTCATTACCACAGTGTGTTGGTCAGTAGTTTATTCCTAAATAATGTCACTTTTAAAAAGAGTAATAATTCTATTTTCCTTATCTAAGGAACAAAGACTTTGCAACGTATCTATTATACTATCTGAAAGAAATAAATTGTTCTCTGGGTACTCAAATCTGTCACTTTTCCCCTTCCACTGTTTTTTCTGAGAGATAGCTCTAACAGATTAGAGAAGAAACAAGTTTGAGATCCTTAGGGATCTGCATATTTACTAAGTGTATTTATTAGCTATTCGAGTTGTGATGAAAAATGGACAGTTGCGGAATGGTTGGTACTAAAACATGAATTTCAGAGTTGCTAGACATGTTTCAGTAAGGGGTGAATACTTTATTGAATGAGCTCAAGGGGAATATGAGAGGAGAAAGTAAAACCAGGGATGACAGGAAAGAATAAATGTTGCTCAGATATAGATATAGATCCCCATATCCTATATCTATATCCATTTTTAGCTACTGCCTTATTTCTCAGATATACCTATATATCTATATTTCATATATCTATATATAAATAGATATGTGTCTATAAGTATAAACATATAAAATATATGTACTTGTCAGTATGTGCTATATATATACTATTAAATATATGTATACTATATACATATAAAGATTTTCCTCTGCCCACCTAGATTTTAACTCTTGCCTTACTTTTCAGATATATATCTAAATTTTGGGATGTTATATATATTTATTAATAGATATACATTATTATATTTTAACTCGATATGGATAGAAGAAAGCTTTATATTATCAAGTTGTAAAATTTGCATCATGTTTGTAAAAGTGGTTTAATAGAGTGAGAAATCAGTGATACAGAAGAAAGGAGCTAGTTCAGGGAGCAGAGTCCTTGAGTGGGTTAGAGAGAATATGGTCTCCAGCAAAAGGGATCAGGCTGAGAAACAGCAGGTAGAGTAACTTCATGGATTAAGTGTAGAAGAAGTGACTTGGGTTAAATGATTTATCTGTTTATTCTATATCACTGCCTGCTATGTGATGTGGAATCAGGAAAATAAACCCTATGTAGAACAGAAATGTATCTATAACTCATTTTTAGAAAAACATATACTAACAGGTACATGCTATTTGTGTAAAGAACAGTTGTCCTAGAAAATGGAAATGGAAAGATGGTTATTTTTATTTTCTTTTTTTAATAAAAATTTTCTAGTAAGACCAAAAGTTTATGCATCTGTCCATCATGCTATAAATGAAAACTCTACTTAATACCCAAATGTCCAATATTTGATGTGTACTTAAGGCAAAAGTAGGGATATATATATATATATATATATATATATATAGAGAGAGAGAGAGAGAGAGAGAGAGAGAGAGACTATATGATAGGTATTCTTTGATGAGTCATAACAGCTCTCAGAAACAATATAAGATATTACAGATAAATGATAATATGATGTCCAATTTATATTATTTCTTTTTAAACTATATATTGATTGATTTTATTTCTTAACAAAGGAAATGCTATTTTTCAGAGTTTACAGGGCAATGTGGGCCGCCTCCAACTGTTGCCAATGGCGATCTCACGTCATTTCCATTAACAGTATACCCTCCTGGATCAAGAGTCAGATACCTTTGCCAGTCCTTCTATAAACTGCGGGGCTCCCAAGACATAACATGTAGAAATGGTCAGTGGTCAGAATCACCAAGATGCTTAGGTGAGTTCCTAAAATGTACCTCAAGTCTCACACTTGTGTATTCATACAAATAATGTGTTCACAGACATAGAAACTGAGGCACAAAGAGGTTGAATATTTTGCTAAAGTCTCACAGTGCGTATCTGATGGAACTGGAATGCAGATAAAGGAAATTTGATGCCAACTTCCATGAATTATTAAATAATTTAATGATATAGATCATGGTGTTTAGCCTCCCCTTTGTTCAAGAACGTAGGACAAAACAAATGATAATAACTTCACCCTTGCATGGTGTGCAAGTTATTAAGTAAAAGAAAATTCTGATCTGGGTAAAGGAAGTGTGCTTTTAGGCAAATACAGGCACAGCAATTAAGAGCAGACTCTGAAGTTAATCTGGTAGGATCCATATTCTCGTTCAAAATAGTCATTACACTGTGTGGCATTGGGAAAATCACTCAATTATCTGTGTCTACATGGACTCATGAGGAGCCAAGGAAACAATGCATGATGTGCATATATAATATATAAAAAGTGTGGAGCAGCCTCTGGAAAACCTCAATAAATATTAGCTATTCCTATTATCTCATAATTTCATTAATTCTAAGATAGTTCTAAGTACAATATCACTGTTCTGTAAAAGACAAAGATAATTGTTAGTAATTTATCATATTTTCTTTCAGATCCATGTGTGATATCTGAAGAAAGTATGAAGAAAAATAACATACAGCTAAGATGGAGTGAAAACAAAAAGCTTTACTCCAAAACAGGAGATGTTGTTGAATTTAAATGCATGGAGACATATCAAATGAAAACACCAGAGCGATCCTTCCGAACAACCTGTCAGGAAGGGAAAATCGAATATCCCAGCTGTGCCTAAAGATAGTATTTGAAAGTAATTATGCATGCATCCAAAAAGGTATCCAATTTCATAATCATTGTCTTTATCCCTGCATGTTATTAACTCACGTAAATTTAGAAATATGAATTTTTAAAAGTTTAAAAACTTGTAAGATGAGAGAGAGAAATGCTGCATTTATTAGAGGAGCTTCATTATTAGAAAAAGTTAATATGCCTTTGAAAATAGGTACATTCACAAAATACACACACACACACACAAAGCTCAAATTAAACTCACTCCTACAAACCCATGGTGGTTTAAAACTG